GACTCTGTCCATGCTTAGCCCAAGCAGTACAGCTCAATCCCACCATATAAGAGAACCAGAAACTATAAAGGCTTCAACGTTACAATCCGAACAGCTCAGATCAATCCTGTGACGCAACCACTCAATTACCAAACACCCTGATGGACCAAAACCTTACAAGTTACAACTTCTTATTTCAATTACATATGACTTTATTATACTATACAAGGTTTTTCAGTATTTCAGTATCATAGGGATAAATCTACATAAATTTAATCAAAATTGTATTCCCAATTCATGACATTGAATGTTACTTAATCGAAGTGCAATCTTAACATGTTACACATATGGTACTTATTGTATTAGGTACTAACGTACTTACACACACAGACACACTTACACTACAAACGTATATACATATAGTCGAATATGGTGCTGTTCTTATTTCCTACTATTATATTAAAGTATGTTTATGGATAGAATACATTAATAATAATAATAATAATAATAATAATAATAATAATAATAATAATAATTTCCCCTATACATGTGAATATTCTGGCAAAGCACTTGTTTAGTTTAACTTGTAGTATCAGGTGATTATTGACCTACTCACACACACATACATATACGCACGCACACACGCACACACACAAAAACACATATGCACTTGTATAGAATAAGATCTACTTGAATATTACTACTATTGTACTATATACGATGGATATCTATTACTGAATTATGATTATCAGTAGTATTGTATTATACTGAGGGAATGTCAATTATTTAGTTACCTGTCAATATATGTATATAAACAATGAAGAAATGATTGTAAAACTATTTGTATTAGTGTATACACAGTGTAGTTTTTCCCTCTTCTTCTTCTACAGTTCCGTTAGTTACTGTTTTATTTGTTCTTTTTTTTGCGTTTTCTTTTCTTTTTCTCTACTTTTTCAACTTTGGAACTTTTCTTGTCAGTTTTATATCAACAAGTGTTTATGATGATGATCATAGTTATGTACTTATAAATGTACAATTCAATCATGGATATAGATATTTCTTTATCTAGGTTGAAAATGATGAAAAAGAAAAGTAATAAATAAAGATGTGAACATCTTTACCTATTCGAGATTTGAACCCAGAACTTTCAGTCTAGCATAATTTCGTGGATTGGTTGAAATTATACATTCGTAGATGACCTAGTCCACCTATCTCATAGACACGAACAAATACAGACAATGATAGCAAATGTAGCATCAGCCTCTGCATTAATAGGCCTCAACATGCACAAAGGTAAAAGCAAGATTCTCAAATACAACACAGAGAACACTAAACCAGGTGGAAACATTCACGTACCTGGGAAGCATCATTGATGAACAAGGAGGATCGAATGCAGATGTAAAGGTAAGGATTGACAGAGCAAGAACCGCATTTTTACAACTGAAGAACATATGGAACTCAAAACAACTCTCAACCAATTTCAAGGTCGGAATCTTTAATACGAACGTCAAGACAGTCCTACTGTATGGAGCTGAAACATGGAGAACTACTACATCCATCATCAAGAAGGTACAAGTATTTATAAACAATTGTTTACGCAAAATACTCAACAAAATGACTAATGATACTATCAGCAACAGCGTTGTATGGGGAAAGACAAATCAGCTTCTAGATGAAGAGGAAATAAGGAAAAGACGTTGGAAGTGGATAGTACATATATTAAGGAAATCACCAAACTGCATCACGAGGCAAGCGATATCTTGGAATCCTGAAGGGGAGCGGAAAAGAGGAAGGTCAAAGAACACATTACGCCTGGAAATAGAAGCAGATATGAAAAGAATGAATTTTAACTGGAAAAGTTTGTCCATGACAGGGTTGGATGGAGAATGCTGGTGGGCGGCCTATGCTCCCCGACGAGGGATAACAGGCGTAAGTATATGAACAGTGAAATAGGAAGCTTTAACAAATTATGGAAGCTGTTTTTGAAGAATGTTATTTCATTTAATTCAAAGCTTGTATAACAGTAACATTTACTTTCGTCTTTAGTCTATTCTACAGATTATAAACTTTCGTTCGATGTACGATTCATTGACATAGTTTTTTCTGTTCCAAAGCTATTGTAATTTAGACGTAACCTTTTGTACTCTATTTTCTACTGTAATGTCTAGCTTCAACCGATCCACGATATTGAGACACACATCCACCATTGTCACCAGTGAGTTACTATTTCAATACAGATACGGTTGAACTCCACTGGTCAGTGCTTCTCACTAGAACTCAAAGAACGACCTCTTGAAGCCAGTCACTAATGAGCATATTAATATGTCTTGTAGGTTGAACGCTTTATTCGGATCCTAAGCTATTGCGATAACACCAGGACTAGCACTACTCAGCAACTTGAAGACCAGAGAGAAGACACGGGTATCAGAGAAAACCTTTACTGCAAGGATCATCTTTGTGCAGAAAATCGTAGGTATTTATAAATGTTTGCTTAAGTTAAATCAACATCCTAATTCAGCCAATCCAATTAACGACATCAATTGCTACTGACTAATGGTAGCATGCCACGTTGGAACTCCAGAATGTTCTGTCGTACTCTGATTGGTTGGGACTCTTTTTGAGCCTCTGGAGGCTCTGTTGGAGTTCGCTGGAAGCCGACTTAACACATATGTTGATCGATATCAGAAGAGGTTTTTGTGGATATTATAGTAATTTTTAATAGTTGAGATCATCAATTAATTGAAGCTAGACTACCATGAAAAACTTGGAAGCACTTGAATCTCGCAAGGCGGGATCGTGGATGGGCACTGCTGAGGAATCCCACAATAGGACGAAAAGGCCGTCCAATGCTTCCATATTTTCTATGGTGGTCTAAATTCAATCGACTAATGATTTTAACGATATAAAAATTACTAAAATCTCCACTGAACCTCCCTTCCAATTACATATTTGATCATAACCTTATTTCATTCAATGACAAGTAACATGATTATTCTTACTATACTTAAAGTAGATTATAATATAAAGCTTATAATACCAATCAATGTCATATATTATTTTGTTTATACTTGTCAAACTAATTTCATTTGTCATTGATGTAAAAAAAAACAATCATATGATTTGATGTATCTACAATTCAGAAAGAACATCAACTCTAGGATGTAGGTACACCAAGCTGATGAATCTCAAATAGGACGAAACGGGTGTTATGGATTCCACTGTTAACTACCGACTATCTTTGCTTATAAAGCTTATGACTTAAGGAAATATCAAGGCGATCTGCAGAGGATGCTTATATGACAATAAGAGATAAAGATTGATCAATTTCAATCTTAAACATCAATAAGAAGATACAAGCAAACAATGTCAAATGAATCGTTCTCTTATTTGTTTATTCTTTTATTCTATGTTCATTGTCATCTGATCAAAACTGTGGGATTTAAATTTAAAAGAAAGAAAAAGTTCCATATACTTATAAATAGTGTTGCTCTGGTTGTTAGAAGGGGCATCGGCCTCGTGACTTCCGAAAGGACTCGGCTTTCATCATTAGACGTCATAATTGTTCCTTCAACTTTCAGGGCAGAGTTTAAATGATTTGAATTATATTTTTTTCTGGTTAGCATTTATTTAGCGAATTAATTTTTCCCACGGGATGGGGTCGCTAACCCTATGCCCAACCCTCCTCCTTTATCCAGGCTTGAGACTGACAGTAATTTTAGAAGAGCTACAGGCGGAGTTAAATTTAAAAGAAATGGTAAAATTATAATATGGAAATGAGCCAATCAGAATCAAGAGAAGGATTTGAAAATAATTTTGCGCCAAAATGAAAAAAGGAATGAATTTCAAACTTTCTGTCACGGAAAATAAACATAAATAAGTAGTTTATGATAACAAATATGTTTGAAATTGTAATGGATGATTAATTCTTGTTTTCATAGAGTAAAATAATCATATCTCATTCTTGTAATTCTAGTCTTAAGCCCTTAATCTCAAATCTTTAATATCAAATACTAACCAAAATGAGCATTCACGATCTCACACATGGGACTCGAACCGCGAACCTTCAGTATTTTGCACGAACACCTAAAGTAGAAACCACTCAACTGGTATCCAACAGTGTTAATGTCTAACTTTAATCGATCCATGAGGAGTCCTATACTAGAACGAAACGGCCGTCTAATGCTTGCAGATTTTCTATGATGATATAGCTTCAACTGACTCATGATTTCAACTATATATAAAAGATGACTTATATGTTGAATAATTTGTAGATGAGAGGATATCAGGAGGAGTATATCATTCGAAAAATAGTTTTCTTGACAGAAAATAAGACGAGGAAATTAAATAAACATAAAGTTATTTACGTTGAAGATACACTGTATACTTCCGTCTATGTTGAATTCACAAATATCATTGACATGTTGTGTATTGGTTCGTTTCATTTTTTTGGGGGGGGAGGGAAGATCAAATATCCATCTTTGTGTGTCTCTCTGTGTGTGTGTGTGTATACAAAAGGAATATTTCATTCTCTCACGATTTAAATTATGATAATTATATAATTTTGATTAATATCAGAAGAGGTTTTGTGGACATTATAGTAATTTCAATAGTTGAGATCATGAATTTAGACATTAACACAATTGGATGCCGGCCGGTTCAGTGGTTTAGAGGTTAAGCGCTTGCGCGCAAGTTTGATATGTCCTGGGTTCGAATCTCACGAGGTGGAATTGTGGATGCGCACTGCCACTGAGGAGTCCCATAATAGGACGAGACAGGCATCCACTACTTCCAGGTTTTCTATGATGGTCTAGCTTCAATTGATTCATGATCTCAACTATTGAAATTATTGTGATTTTGAGCCTAATAATCAGAGTTCGTATTGATAAAGATCTTATTTTAACTTTGATAAATAAGACAGGAGGAAAAAATATTGTGACATTTTTGGATTATTGTCCAAAGAAAAAACTGATCATATCACATGCTTATACGTTAATTAATGAGAAAAATTAATTTGCTTTGTAATGTTTCAATATAATCCACAAGATGATGATGATGATGATGATGATGATGATGATGATGATGATGATGATGATGATGATGATGATGATGATGATGATGATGATGATGATGATGATGATGATGATGATGATGATGATGATGATGATGATGATGATGATGATGATGATGATGATGATGATGATGATGATGATGATGATGATGATGATGATGATGATGATGATGATGATGATGATGATGATGATGATGATGATGATGATGATGATGATGATGATGATGATGATGATGATGATGATGATGATGATGATGATGATGATGATGATGATGATGATGATGATGATGATGATGATGATGATGATGATGATGATGATGATGATGATGATGATGATGATGATGTTGAGAAGGAGAAGGAGGAGGACGAGGAAAAGAAGTAGGAGAAAGGGGAGGAGAAGGAGGAGAAAGTGGAAGAGGAAGAGGAGGATAATAATCATGTAATGATGTAATCGTTTCGATGTAATATATCATTCCGACCGAATAAGATAATTTATTTTTATTTATATAAACACATAAATATTGGTACAAGGAAGCACCAGATACATATGCGCCACATAAATCTCATTCTTAGGGAGCTACACCCTCAGCCTTTGACCTCAAGATCTGATCCACAAAGCAGTGAAGCACCGTAAGGAGATGCAGTTCCATGGTAGCCGATGACCAACGATTGATTCATACGTCATTTATTCCCTCAGGATACTGGAGTAAGCCAATGTGCACCATTTGTTTGAAATCAGGGTTTTCCAACTAACCTAAGTGGACCCTCCGTGTTCACTAACCTGGTTAAAGCGCCGGATATTCGCTTTTCGTCCTCTCAATTTCGTAAAAACAAAACCCCCACCACGAGAAGGCAGTGAGTAGGACTTCCCTGGCTGAGGCTATATACGCGTGGCCATATGAAAGCATTTGGAGAGGGAGAGCGTACTCTCCCCACTCTTGGCCGTACCATGACATTCGGGGGCTAACAGACAATGAATAAGTTTACTTTCAAGATTAAATAACATAATTTGATATAACATACACATACTGACATATATACATATATTCATTAGATTATATTGGTATTCACATAGAAACTATTCATTGAATAATAGAATGAAACTGTAATTTAGTCAACTAAAATTGTCTGAGAATAAGACTATAAGATCAGTTGTTTTTGGACTATATTCTCTGTGATGAAGCATTTTATTACCTAATGAATGAATGGGTAAGTCTAAACTAGTTGCCTATCTATACATATATATATATATAACATACCATGGTAATCCATAAATACGTAGTAGACTAGGCATGTAAAACTGTCTTCTATCAATGTCTACTTGAAATTCGACCTTTAAACCATCTTCATAGACAACTGTTAATATTCTATCAATTTCATGTAAATCTTAGATAATGGATACATTATATGGAGTTGAGATCATAAGTCAATTGAAGCTAGACCACCATGGAAAACATGGAATCATTGAACGGTTGTGGTCTAGCTTCAATGGATTCATGATCTCAACTTCATAAAATTACTAAAATCTCCACAAAACCCCTTCTCATAATTGATGCATTAGTTGATTATCTAGCTGAAACTAAACTTATGTTGGATAGTTCTATAGTTTACATCCATCCTCACAATTTATCTACACTAATTAATCATTCAATGTAAAGTATTTAGACGAAGATGAAGTAATGATTACTACATTCTAGGATCTTTGAAGTGATTCGTCTTTCTTTCGATCTAATTCTAACGGTGTTTCATTACGAATGTGTTATAGAGTATCATAGATATAGTAATCAAAATGACAAATATCAAACTGTTAAATATACCGTTATTCTCATTTAGACGAAGTTACTCTGAAAGATTAAACACGTCAAGATGATTTGGTAGTAGTTACTAAAGACGATTGATTTATATTTATGTCCATTCAATTGCATATCGTTTATGTATTATTTGACGGTTGTCTACACAAAATATTTCGCATTCGTTAGTAAGACATTATCAGCAACAACGTTCTGTGAGAGAGAACAAACCAGATTCAAATGAAGGAACAAATCAGGAAGAAGTGCTGGAAGTGAATAGGATACACATTGAAGAAAGCATTCAACTGCGTTAAAACACAAGCCCTCACCACTTGGAATCCTCAACACCAAAGGAGAAGTGGAAGATCAAAGAACACATTACTCTGAGAAATGGAGACAGACATGAGAAGAATGAAAAAAGTTGGATAGAATTAGACAGGAAGGCTCATGACAGAGTGAGTTGGAGAATGCTGGTCATCGGCATATGCTCCATTGGGAGTAGCAGGCGTAAATAAGTAATTGCATATCGACTAATTTCAGCAATTATCAACTTGCCGGTCACTAATTAAATTCCCAATAACACTGAATCAATCTGTATAATAAATTGCCTTGAATTATGATCAGCTAAGATTATCCCCCAAAAGAGTGTGTCATTCTTAAATACTTTTCTATGATTTAATCAAATATTAAAGATATTGTTTGACTAAATGCAGCTTCATTTTCAGGTAGTTTATAGAATATTTTCAAAAATTGATTTTTAGTTACTTATAAGTAGTATGAATAATACAAACACATTTGTGGTGGATAGCTTTACCCAGATTCTGATATTTTGACTGAATTTTGTATAGGTACACCAAACAGGAAAGTTGCAAATAGAACAAATCAGACATCCTGGATAAAACCTCTAGATACATTCTATCTAAACTTGTCGGATAATTTTAATAGTTGAGATCATGAGTCAATTAAAGTTAGACCACCATGGAAAACCTGGAAGTAATGGACGACCTTTTCGTTCAATTGTGAAACCCCTCAGCAGTGCTTATCCACAATTCCGCCTCGTGAATTCGACTCATGATCTCAACTTATAAAATTACTATAATATCTACAAAAACCCCTTCTGATATTATAGGATAATGACAATAACAAGACAACTTGTACATGATACACATTTGTCAACTAAGACTAATTCGATATTCAGTTAAGAATGTTAACAGAATTACCCAAACTATTACAGACCTAATTGAATCTTATATCCGTCATATACGTGAATGACTGTTTAGGCTTAGTAGCTAAGTGAATAGTTGTTGTATCCTGGTGAAGACGTCAGTACAGGTAACTTCCAGGACCTATTAATGGACGATTATTCTATATATATTCCTATTGTATGACTATTCAGTAACTAGATTATGTATATCTATATTCATCTTATTATAAGCTACATTTTGACCTATTAATTATTACTGTACGATTTACTGTTCCTAAATTATATTCAATCTATTGATTATTGCATCCCACATTCACAGCCACATTTGGCTTGATCTTGTACCAATATTACTTTCTATTTTTATGGTGTGATGCGGTCTGTCTGTCTGTCTAATATATAAACAGAGTATGCTTTAAATAAAATGATTCGCATAACAGAAGCTGTAATTGGTGTTATTTGGACTCAATTGGAAGGGATAGGCGAACAAGAGACCAATAGGGTTGCTAGACTGTTCACACCAGTTGAACGTCATCGATTTGGCACAGTGTTAAGATTAGACAAGTCGTATTCCGATTGCTGGATAAATCACGTGATAAAAAGTCGGACATAAGATCATAACGAACTAGCAGTACGGCACTATTCTTTTAAAAGTCATAAAATATAATGAACTGACATCTAAGGTAAAACTCACTGGGTTTAAATCCTGGGTTTCATTACTAACTACAACCTATCTATTGTATATAAATTTAAGAACCTACGAACTTAGCTAAACGTATATAAACTAAACCACTTGTTATCTCGCTTATTCACCAGTAAACGAGTCCATTGAGCGTAATCTTCATGAACTAACGCCTAATTCCATGGAATCAAGCTCAAATGTCATTCATTGGAGGTCATTCTTGAAGTATCGGAAAGAAGTCTGAAGAAATGGTTACTCTCAGAACTAATTTCTGGATTAATAATGCTATATATATTCTTATTGTATAAGTACTAAGTGACTGAGTTACTATTTTTATATATTCCCTTTATCATAACCCTTTTGTTTTACCCATTGACTAGTATTACACTGTTTATTATCCTTAATTTATTCGCAATTAGTTATATAATGCTTGCTCCAATCACAGACACTTCGTAGTGAGATGTGGTATTTTTGTACACAAGTCTATGTATTCTTGAAATATGATATCACAGGAGTGGGTTAGTGACTTCTCTTTGAACTCACAACAGAAAACATAAAAAGATAGTCTTGAGAGTAACGGACGAATGGAGGTTAGCCAATATCGGCTCAAGATTAACTGTACAGGTCAGGAAGTATAATTGGTCGAGTATAGGATATGAAAATATATATACGATTGTTACAATTCACGTCCACTTCATACATTTGCGTCTTCTCATTGTTTATTTTGCTTTAAGATAGCTTCATTCGTAAATCCAAGTGATATTTATCCTCTTCAATTACTTATATTAACAAGAAACTGATTTCATTGATTTTGTTAACGTCATTATCCGATCATCTCTAATTTAAACTTGGTTTTCATTCAATAACGACCTTTAAATACCCACTAGAACTTTGTAACTACAAGTTTAAACACCAACTTCCTGGTCTCTAGAGGTTGTTTACAATTTAATCTTGAATAGAAGGTGAAAATTGTCGAGCAATTTTTGCATCCCAAATGCGATTTTCTACAGAAAACAAAGGTAGCCATAGAATTACATAGGACCTTGAGATTCTAAAAACTTCCGAAAGCACGATAAAATTGGTGGTTGTGTAATCATGATAAGGAAGACACAGGTAATTCTTCACTTTATTATTTTTAAGGTACTTTTCAAAGAGCATCAATTGGTTGAGGTATTTTCAGTAATCTATTAACTTTCGAAGACATTTTTAAGATTTCCTAAAACTTGCTTGAATTCCCAGACTTAAATCGTACAATTAATGGTTAGACTGTCAGTTCATTTCTTAGACCATTTTATTTGCTCGTATGAATTGTACTTCACGAATCATAAACATTATTCATCAAAATATAAAATAATTTTCATAGTTGAAAGCGTGAGTCAATTAAAGCTAGACCACCAAGAAAAACCTGGAATCACTAGATGGCCGTTTCGTCCTATTGTGGGGCCCCTCAGCAGTGCGCATCCTTGATGGTACTGCTTCAATTGACTCATGCTTTCAACTATGAAAATACTAAATCTCCACAAAAACCCTTACAATTATTCTTCTAGAACTGAAAATGTATTTGAAGTAACTAAGCTACTTGCAAATAATAAGTAGCACAATAAGTTTAACGAAAGTAAATAACATCCGGATGCCAGAATCATCTAATTCGTCTCTAATCCATTCATATTTTTGTAATGAATCCTTAACAAAAATACATTATCGATTATCATATCTTCCGTGATATAATTTCGTTTAATCATAACGAAACAATTAAATCTTCTTTAATATTTAAGATCATGAGTCCATTGAAGTTAGACCATCATTGACTCATGATCTCAACAATTAAAATTCCTATAATATCCACAAAAACCCCTTCTGATATTAATAAACATATGCTCAGTAGTGACTGGCTTCAAGAGATATTTCCTGAAGTTTTAGTAAGTGACCAGTGGAGTTCAATCAGGTCTGTAGTGAGATAGTAACTCACTGAAGACAATAGTGAATGTGTCGCTACATTTCGTGGATCAGTTGAAGTTAGAAACTAATGCCGTTGGATGCTGGCCAGCTCAGTAGTCTAGAGGTTAAGCGCTTGTGCACAGGAATGATTGGTCCTGGGTTCAAATCTCGTGATGTGGAATCTTGGGTGCGCACTACTGAGAAGTCCCACAGTAGGACGAAACGGCCGTCCAGTGCATCCAGGTTTACCATGATGGTCTAGATTCAATTGACTCATAATCTCAAGAAAAATTACTACAGTAATTTTTCTTGAATACAATTTCATTAAAAATGCTTAAACTCATTAATGGACGTCATGTCTATCTAGTTCTTGGTATGAGTTCAAAACTTGAGAATAAGAAATCAACTTCCACAAGAATGAATAGTGTTAACTAGAACGAAACTTATAGCAACGGTTTCCGAGTGGTTATTTATAGCTACTTAACACAATAACTGAAAATATAATCTTGCTATATATATATTGTCATGGATAAATTTATAACAAATCAACCGGTAGTTGGAAGTTGTCTGTATACAACACTGAAACCCAAGTTATTTATTCTAAGGTCACTGTTCTGTGATTGGTAAATCTTGTTCAGTTGAATAGTGAATAAATTTCACTTTGATTAAAGAATAACTTACTTCAGGGTGTTCCACGGGTTCTAGTGAGAAGTTATGACTGATGGAGTTTAGACTTTTTCATAGTGAAACAGTTATCATCAAAGCCGTTAAGTGATTGTCACGCTATCTGTGTTGGGATCATAGGTGTACACGGATTAAAAGTCTCACACTACAGCGAAATAACTTTCTAGTGCTCCTTATTTCTCAAGGCTACCGTGACTAAGATTAGAATGTTGCGAACACAACCTAAGAATTAAACCGATCATCACAAATCCCACTTCAGCCATACTCAACTGTATATGGAATACATCACTTCACCACAGTGCAGATTAATTATTAGTTATAATGAGTATAATTTAATAGTGATTTAATAGAAGTTAGGAGATGTAAACCAACTTATAACTCTTGGGACGGCTTCCGAGAATTACGACGGAACCCCTCGGAGACCCTAACGGAGCCGAAGAGTTTCCATTCAATCAGAACCTGATAGGGTTTTCTAGAATATCAAAGTGGCATGTTACCATTGAATAGTAGCATAACTTGCCTCTTTGCGGAATTACTGAATTATAATAACGTTCGAACAAACGCTAATATCTATAAATACCCATGATTTTTTATATACTTTGGTTGTTGTAAGTATTAAAAAAATGTTTCTGTTGGGGTGATCCAGAAAACTTCCCGCAATAGACAAAAAGGTTTAGGAAACACTAAGACGCAGTTTATACAAACAGCGTTCATTAGGAGTTTTGCCAGAAACATCACGAAAATGAAAAGTCACTTGTAGAGTTTCTGACTGATGTGTGGGCGAGAATGACAATTATTGGTTGTTTTGCTGAGTCAGACATTAGATAAAATGACAGGTGTTATATGTGTTATATATTCTCCTATCCTGATTGTTATTGTTTGGCTGTTCCTTGTTGTTGGATTGTGTCGGATTTTGGTGTGGAAATATAGTGACGTTCTAGTCAGGCTAATCTCGTGTTGATCTGAGTTGTGTTGAAGTCCTGTAGAATAGATGACATAGGGAGGGAATCTAGTGTAGATATTCGTCTAAGGTAAATTAACGTCTCACATATGTGTAAAAGGTGAAAGGACCGTTATAACAAGAAACCATAGTGTTATAACAAGTATCGTACAGTTTATAATACTGACTGATTATTACACTATTACTATGTTTTGTAGCATTCTAGAATTTCCAGAAAAACCCAAGAACTTCTAAAATACTATAAAAACCCTTTATTTTCTGTATGCGAATGAACCTTTGGAGTAATGTACTCCACACATATTTTGTGCCTTTTCTCTCGTGTTCCACTCGCTGTGTAGTTCTAACTTGATTGGGGTTTACGAGACTAGTTTAGGAACCGAGTATAGCATCTAATTAGTAATACTTATCATTGTCAAACTTTATATGAGCCCCCAAATGTTATACTTTTAGAAACAATACATAATACAATACCGTAAAATAACAATAATATGGATTTTCAATGATGATGACAACAAAAAAATGCACGAAGAGAAGAATATCTCTCCCATACACATACACACAAGAAGCTTCAAAAATAGATATTTTGATTCAACTATAATCAAAGCAAGTTATTTTATGCTCATGCAAAGAAGTAGACGAAGAACAAGAAGAAGAAGAAGAAGTCATACTGAAGTAACCATCTGCAAAATGTTACAATAGATCATACAAATATAATGATAGTTCTGCTTGAATGATAACACATAACAAACAGTATCAAAGATCAATCAAATGAGATTATACAAGAATAGTATCCAGATACTGTGTATAGTCCCCATGTCTCCTTAAGAGTAACACATACATTATCACTATGACAACAATGATGATGTTTTATCCAGAATCTTCCACTTTTGAATATCGTCATACATACACACACACACAAAACAGGAAGAGAGAAAGTAAGGGAAAGAAGGAGAAGAAAAGTTAAACTAGACCATAGTGATTAGTTCATTTAAACACAATTTGTTGTTTCAGCACATTTCATTTGTTTTCTATCAGCTACAGCTTTTTCACATAAACGTACAAAATAAATAATTACTGCCAAAAAACTTAATAAATAAATAAAATCAGCTGATATTAATAAGAAAAAACTTGATAATGGTGGTGTAAGATACAAGGCAAATTCACCAGTTAAACCTAAACGATCATTATCTATACTACTTATACTACTACTAAGACCATTACCTTCAAGATTGAGACTACTAATAGTACTATCTAAATAGAATTGATTTGAATATTGATTATTTGTTTCTATAAGACCATTTGATAGAAGAACTTTGGTTAAAATCATATCACCATGATCATGAATATATTCAATTTCTGTTTCAGCTAAACTTAATCCAACCAATATACATGAGACTAAAAGAAAAAAATAAGCAAAAAATAAAATAGAATTAGATAGTATGAATTTGAAGATAAATAATAGATCTTATCATCGACGCTAGGACTGGTTAGAAAAAGCGGAGAGGTGGTCAATATATGACATGGTGTGGTGGTATGAAAGAAAGCTGCAAAGGGCTGGCTTCTGTTGGTCTTTCACAACTCCCTGGCTTGAGTTCAAGAGATGGTGAAACACAGTGACTAGAGATGTTATCAGATATGGACCAGAATAAAAGCCAGTGGCGATCCTGCTGTAACCTTCTTTTACTTTCTTCATAAAGAGTGGTCATTCCCCCATCATTACTCTTATTTTTTTATACATGCATCTTACCCTTTTTCTCTTCCCATTCTCATTGTTTTGTGTGGTGCATATATATCTGGTGCCCCGTTGTACCAATATTTATGTGTTTAAATAAATAAATAAGATCTCATCATGGATTGATTGATTGATGTTAGACTTTTACATCACTAGATTTCTATTCAGTGGTCGAGAGGTTAACTATTCGTACAAGAAAACGAAGGTTTTAGGTTCAATCCCTATGGTGGAGTTGTTAGGGTGAACTACTAAGGAGGTCCACACTGAGATTAAACATTTATCCAATGCTTTCAAATTTTCAGTGACAGTCTAACTAAGATTTTTTTGCGATCATAATAAAACCGATATCTTGGTATTGTTCGTTTGAATCTTCCCATTGATGTTTAGGACTGTAATTAATCAGTCTCTCTCTTATTGGCATATATGCATACTGTGCGTATTGCCTCGATATAGCCTTAATTCACAAGCATTATAAAAAAATATGGCGTTTAAAGCGAAAGGTACTGGATTCGAGTCCCAGAGTGAACATCAACTCTTAGATGCAGATACATCCAGCTGACGATTCCCTAATAGGACGAAACGCGCGTCAAACTAGATTCTACTCCTAGCCACTATCTGTCTCTGCTTATAAAACCGATATCTGTTTTAAAATGTTCCAGAAGTTGTTTATCTTAGAACTTTTCTGAAGCACACACATGTTGTTCACAGTAGCCAGTAGTATAAATAGGTAAAGAAATAAAAATCTGAACTCTGATAGCTACTTTTCCAGAAATGGATCTATATATATCCTATGTACATTTATTCAATAATTTGTATTGGATATAAGGTAAGCTTGCATTTTTCACGTATTAATTGTTGCAGTGTCTTTTTCTGTTCATTAAATTACAATTAGTTATCTGTTAACTTGTTATTCAACTTTATATCACATTTGTCCTATTTATGGTTCATACAATAGGTCACAATAACGTCGATGCAATTCAATTGTTGTATTCTTATAGACTCATAGTTCTTTCAGGTCTTTAATTACTAACTAGATTGGTTCACTCAGGTTTGTGTGTCTAACGTTTAGGCATTCGTTTTTTATCCTTAGACATACTGGATTCGACCGGTCAGAGGACCTAGTTCCACTTGATAAAGGATAGACGGAAAACACAGAGCCGTATGAACTTTCAACTTAGTAGATAATAATGAATATTGAGACTTTCCCAATTATTGAACTAGATGATAAGTTTAAATGCTCTAAACACTAGAACTGCCATTACTATTATTAAGTTGACTATGCGTAATAATGATATTTCAATTTAATGTCTAGGAATTCTGAATATCCCACTGTTGATAGTTTAACTGAGTTTTGAACAGTGTTAGTTGGTGTATAGACATCCTGTTTCGGTATAGCCATTATGAAATAAATTTATTTGTAATAGATGGAATGTGGTTAGCAATGAGATCCATGACGTGCATTTCATTCTGTGATACTCATTATTTTAAATCTTGGAATGAACATCAACTCAGAAATGAAAGTAAATCCAGCTTTTTGGTTAAAGATTTTGTTGTTTTTATGAAGCAGATATGAAAAGGATGAATAACAACTGGAACGAACTGGAAAGGATTGCCCAGGACAGGGTTGGATGGAGAATGCTGGTGAGTGGCCTATGCTCCTCCACGAGGGGTAACAGTCGTAAGTAAGTAAGGTCCATAAAGTAATCTGGATCTGTCGTTAGTCTTTTGACCTCTCGCTCACTATAGTGTTCAAAATCACCATGACTTTCAAGTATTTAGCAGTCTTATGTTTACAAAACTGAAGTATAAGTTTATTTGTACACTAATAAACACCAAGAAAAACTTTTAGAGAAAAAAAGGAGTAATCTTACCAGCTATCAGAAGAAATACAACTTCAGCTAGTACATTTGACCATTTACGATTTGTTTGAAAATGCGCTAGAATTATATGAATTATAAAGGATGTAATTGCTGTTAATAAGCCAATTAAACTCATTATTCTAGCCAATGTCCAACGAAGATCTAAAATTCAATGAAAGATATGAGAGAAAAAAACAGTTAAATAAGTACTAGTTCAACCCAGTACATACACACACACACCTTAGGAGAGCACAGAAATATAAAGTTGATCAATTGTGATCAATGAAAAGTCTAGGACAAATGTGTATGTTAGCCCAATATTGCCATACGCCAAATTAGCATTACGTGTTGAAGTTATTATTCTAGAATTGAAGGTCTAGGAAATAATGTAAAGTGTATACATCTGAGACATGCTACCCAATGTTTTCAGTCACTGATCACGTTTATCGTGTGGACCTCAACCAGGTAGGTTACACTGAAAAAGATGACTTAGAAAGAAAATCCATGATTTTATGGAATGAACAGTAGCACAAATTCGTCGTAATATATAACGAGACCAACAAAATCTAAGGACTTGATGAGGAATAAGTCAGTCGTTAACACTGTTGGATGCTGGCCGGCTCAGTGGTTTATCAGTTAAGTGCTCTGGAGCGAGACTGGTAGATCCTGCCACTGAGGAGTCCCACAATAGGACGAAACGGCCGTCCAGTGCTCCCAGGTTTTCCATGGTGGTCTAGCTTCGATTGATTCACGATCTCAACTATGTTAAAAACTTACTAAAATTTCCGCGAAACCCCCTTCTGATAATAAGTCAGTCAGTTAGTCATCAGTATATTAAAACTTGGTATGAAGCTGCTTGGTGCAAGTTGATGCACTAAATCGCTATGTAAACATACTCACACATAGTTTTATTCATTACATTATATTTGGACCCTCAATGTACAATTCTTGGGTTACAAATAAAAACACAGAAAACCAACTTGTCAAGAAGAAATGGATTCAATTCATGAATTAAGAACAGTGTAAACTGAATTCGGGATCTTCAACAACTATTAACTCATTTACCAGGCGTATAGTTTTGTGTACTTGGCTTCCAGTCACAGTGTTAGTGTCGAAGCTAATGATATTATCCATCTATTCGAGCCAAAGTAGGTGAAAGGTGGAATTCGGACCAAGGACTTCATAGCTGAAAGCTGGATACTTTAACAACTGAGTTACTGATCCACAACGAAACAGGAACATGAACCATACATAACAGAATAATGGTAAATAAGACACCTAAGATGGAAAATTACAATGAAGAAAGTCCATGCGAACACTGTGTACTTGAAAATGACACAAAGTTGATTAAGTTGCATATTGTATTCATCATAGATGGATTTCAATGGGGGCAAAATTAAAAAAGATGAATATCTGAACATATATTTCATCTCAATAAGAGACTGCTTAGACCTAAAAGTTCTGAGTTCTATCCTTGAAGAATTATTGAGTGTGTATTGCTGAGGAATCTCATACTAGGGTGAAACAGCTGTACAACGGTTCCTAGTCTTCACTAGTAATCCCACTGAGACCAACCTATGACTAATACAACTTATAAATCAAATCATTCTCTATAAAACCCCCTTTACCTAGACAGTTACTACTTGCATTATGTTTACAGAACTAGTCAATATGAATTACATTAAGTAGAAATGAGAAATAGTCAACAAACAAATAATGTCAATAAACCGATTGATCAGTTTACAGCAATCCATACCTCTAATAAACAACATAGCTAAAAATTCTGTCTAACATTATTTATTTAACAAGAGAAATAAGTGAATTTAAAAATGGTCAATCATTACAAGCCAGGAATCAATGAACAGTTGACTTATGTTAACACAATAAGTTTTAACAGTGAATATCTACAACCTCGTCAGGGATCAAATCTAAAACCTCAGGTCTTCTTAGTGAGGGCCCAGCCTTTATATCACTAAGTTGGCACACCAAGAAGCTCACGTTTATAACTTTGGTAATATCAGAAAATATTGCAAATGGGTTGATCTTAATTAGACTCAATGGTAGCTGCTACCTTGACATAGATGATGGTCAAGTCTGGCTATCATGATGATCTAATCGGGTTCTATCAGTTGGAATACATGTATGCTTAGGTTAAACCATACCAATTAGATCGACCAGATAGCAGTAGAGTGAAAAGTACCAAAAATAAGGTTTTAGGACGAAGTCGTACCGCCGACTACACAGGGGTGTGAATGCAGTTGTTCGTTTCATTCTAGTAGCTGTACAAATGCCACCTCTCTACAACAGAAAGAAGGGTTGGTCAAGGTCATCCCCATAAAATATCACACTTTACGCTACAGCATAGATTGTTGTCACCGAAAGTAAGGCCTCTAAAGCACAGTTACAAAAACAAGAACCGTTTGCTAAAGAATTATGAGTGACCGGTCGTTTTATCCTAGTATATAACTCCTCAGAAGTGTTTGTTCACAAACACGGATTCAGGAAGCGAGCCCACAACCTTCAGTCTCACTCGCAAACGCCCAACATTACTAGATTATTGGTAATTTGACTAAAACCTTAAGAGAAATATAACGAAAATAGTTTTATCATCTCCATGAAACCCCTTATGATATTAATCAACATATGCTCACTAGTGACTGGCTTCAAGAGGTATTTCCTGGAGTTCTAGTGAGAAGCAGTGGTTGGTGGAATTGAACCAGGTCTGTTGTGAGATAGTAACTCATTGAAGACAATGGTAGACGGTTGCTCAATTTCATGAATTGGTTGAAGTTAGACATTAACACCGTTGGATGCCAACCGGCCCAGTGGTCTAAAGGTTAAGCGTTCACGCGCGAGACTGATCGTGGATGCGCACTACTGAGGACTCCCACAATAGGACGAAACGGCCGTCCAGTGCTTCTAGTTTTTCCATAGTGGTCTAGCTTCAATTGACTCATGATTTCAATTATGAAATCAAAATACATAATCCATATACAGCAATGTTATCATGGAGTTTAGAACAATGGAAATCAGAGATTAAACAATACTGGATGTTAAATTCCTAGAAAAAAATTCTTTCTATAAAAACATACAATAAAAGAATAATAAATCGTTTTTGTAAACAACTGATCTTATTAGGAGAATGGTGGAAATTAACCTGTTACGTATTTGTAGTCGTGTAATGAACAGAACACTAGTTGGGGACAATCGAATGTATCTAAGCACAAATTACAGACTATCTCACTAAATTCTGATAACCATACAGCTAGCAGTTTATTTGCAAAATAAAAACCAATTATCTCAATCTTCACTGTTCCTTCTGTAAATATCAATCCATCTTATCTAATTTCATTATTCATGTATTTTCCTGCCAATTGCGCTTCATTTCAGTTTTTTCCTTATCGATCTTCTGCCAGAATACATTCTATGTCTGACTCTCACCATATACTACTTATATGGATATAAGTAGATCACACTACACTATGAATAGGACACTGTAGTATATCTCAAATTGCGCAGACGAAAAAAAAACACCAAATAAATTGAAAATAAAAGCTTAAAATGAAATAATCACTAATAACTAAGCTCTTTTATTCACACACATACTGAACAGTGAGACGTAGATGTACTACAAATTAACCAAAACGTATCTTTATCTCTCAATGTGCTGTTTTTGAATTTACTAAGTACACACAACATGTGAGCCCCCAAATGCCCTGATACGACCGAGAGTGGGAAGAGACCACTTTACTTCTCCAAATGCTCTCTCATGGTCACGCGTATATAGAGTCTGACAGGGAAGTCCTACTCACTGCCCTCTCATGGCATTACTGTTGTTTACGAAAATGAAAGGGCAAAAAGCGAATGCCTGGCGCTTTAACCGGCTTGGTGGACACGGCACGTCCACGTAGGGGATTTGGAAAACCCTGATTCTAAACCAATGGTGCACATGGGCTGACTCCAGTATCCTGAGGGAACAAATAGCGTATGAATCAATCATTGGTCATCAACTATCATGGGACTGCATCTCCTCACGATGCTTCACTGCCTTGTGGAACTAACCTTTAGATCAAAGTCTCCGGATGTGGCCCTCTAAGAAAAAAACATCTGCTTCGTTTTGGGCACCCGGGCAGTATCACAGCCCTCACACAAATCTCATTTGATTTGTGTGACGCATATATATCTGGCAATTCCTTGTACCATTATTCATGTGTTTAAATAAAGTAAAATAAATACAACATATGAAAATATGAAGGATAAACAAATACTTCGAAGTTTATTCAATATTGTTATTATTATTTGTGTACTAGGTAACTGACAAAACAGTTATTTTCAATAACATACACATATACACAGACACATACATACCTGATATCATTGTCCTCTATTTATACTACTTATTAATTTAATTAAAATACCCACGTAGTAAACATTTCAATAGAAATCAATCATTGTTAATGATTCAAAACACCTTCGGAAATGTGAACTAGAGAATGAACTATCTGGTTATATTCATAAACTACTGATTTTAAACGAAATCACCAATAGACCAATAACATCATCTTCAATTCTGATTGTATGGTTCCCATATACCATTAATAATAGTGCTTAATTGAAAGAATTCATTCCTGTTGTTTGTGAGAATCAATGCAAATTATGTTAGAAACACAGTTAAACAAAAGAATATTTAGAATGATTTGAACTGTGATATTTTACGAGGAAGAAGAAGAAGAAGAGAATGTGTTTCTCTTGACTGCTATTGTTAAAGATATTTTTATTTGATTCTGGAAACTATCTCACTCTACAGTTTCAACACATCAGTTTTACAGTGAAAGAGGTAGATAAATTACCTAATATTTTATGTATGAAATCCAATATAATTACCAGGTCATGGTAAACATAATCATGATACGAGTTTTACTTAAAAATTCAAACTCATGTGTATCGTGGATGAACTGAATATTCAGTTAAACAGACTGATAGAATGGACAAGAATCTTTATAGGTAAACCACTCGGTCTACAAACTTCAGCTTCCTGACATCAACTCAATTCAATTTATTTTGATTTGAGAAATGGCAGCCGCCATTTAGGCTATTTTGAAAAGGCCTCAACCACGACTAGATAGGTGGTTCCATTGATATCCAGTGTTCGCTCGGGACTA